AGAGTGAAAGGCCCACACGGTAGATCCTAGATCCCTGCGCCTAACGTTACACAGAACAACAATTGAGACATGTCCCCAGCTTCCTCAGTGTAAATGACACCTATGAAATAAATACAATATTTGTCGCACTAAGAATTCTAATGGTGCGATACCAAAAATACAAAATAAATTGTGCAGTACGAGTTGTTACAATTAGTTACACCTTGGCTATATATACGGTAATGTGACAATTGCTTCAGTGATTATTCATCCTTTTCGGTTTTTACATCTAAATGCTGCTTGAAATATAGTATTGGCTTGGAAGCAGCAAGGATAAGGAGTTGGGCTCCAGTTTGTTTTTTCCTTGTCCCGGTGAAGTTTAATGTGCGTTAGCATGTTGGACGTTTCCATTCACATGACAGTACCCTACAACAGTGGCGCAACGCCGACACACAGACATGGTCCTCGTCTCTCCGTTGCTCTTGTAACGTCAACTGACCAGTAACCTGCAGAGGGTCTTCCAGCTCAGCTGTTTCATTACCGCTTGCCACAGTGTGACTGAATCACACACCAAGCCGCTTGTTATGCTAACCTCAGCGCCACTGCCCTCAGCATCGTCTGCCAGCTTGTCATTGTCACTGGCCTTCTGAACTTCAGACACTTGCCCATTCTGAGTCAATGAACTTTAGCTTGTTAGTACCACTTCAGAGACGTTTTGTTTTCTTTCCTAACAACTGGCTGATTCACACCAGAGCTTGGATGGCAGAGCTTGTGCACCGCAAACACTCAACAGTCCACAGCGTAAAGCTAAACACTGACGTAAACAGTAACGCTACCTGTACTGCTGTTTAACATCCAAGTAACACCAAACGGAGGAAATTCACACGCACAAAAAGTATTTACTGATGACATTACGGCATTTATTTAATGCTACGAAAAGACAAGAAAAAATTTAAGACCTTTGTATATGAAATTTAATACTTTTAATGCCTTATTTTTAGAATATGAAATTTAAGACTTAATACTTTTAAGACCCCGCAGGTACCCTGGAAAAAAAGCTTAGTGTTGTGTGACACTTGACACTCACTCATCATCTTCATCCTCGTCATCCTCCTCTTCCTCTTCCATTTTCATTTTTTTCTGTAAGGGGGCAGAAGGTGGATCGTCGTCATTTGATTTTTGACACATTTGAAACTGAAATAGCACATGATGTAAAACAAACCTGAGACTTGGGGGCGGGGGAGGAAGCAGGTCTTTTCTTTGATGTGCTGACATCTTCTTCCTCCTCCTCTTCTTCATCATCATCATCTTCATCAAAAGACTGATCAGCCTCCATCACTTCACAGTCGATCGAGAGAGATGTTAGACGAGTTTTAAACACCAACAAAACCAAATCAATATTGCTGTGCTATAAAAATCCTACTTATTCACACTTCTGATTAAAACTGGTTAGTAAAGCATAAACCCTGGCAATCCCCACAGTGACCAGACACTGAAAATACACACACACATTCAGTTTGTCCCCCTGATCAGTTAACACATGAGTGTACTCTTGCAACAAATACTCACTGACAAGGTGCTGTCCACTGATATGGATTGGACCAGAACCTGCCTTCAGACGGAAAATTGCTGGGGGTGTGATTGTGAAACCACCGAGACACACCTGCAACAAACACGCACATGAGCATCCACTTGTACAGTGATGATAAATGTGCTCTGTACCCAAGCAAAGACAACAATACGTATACTCACACTTGGCAGGGTAGAGGGCTTAAGTGAAACCAGTGCTGCTTTGATTTTCTGACCCTCCGTGTCTTGTCCTTCCACCTCCACCATGTGAAGTTCATCTTTCGTAGCGGGGTCCACACAGGCCTGAAGAGAATAAGGCAACAGTTGATTGTAAATCTGTGTCAGCCTTTTAGGGTGTTCTTCACACCTGACCTGTTTGACTACTCATGTGACATAATTTATGGCATACGAGGTCCAGTTAAAGTCTATACTACAAATGCTGATTATTTCTTTTTGACACCCGGACAGATAAAACAAACAAAAAAAAGGAGGTTCAGTCAAGTGCAACGTGACTTGCTGCCAGCGACTGGATTTTGCTTTGAGGAAAATTTGGGAGAACAAAAAGACCGGCAGGAATGATGTTTGCATGTCTGTACCTTAAAATTAAGATGGGGGAAAAGGTTATACGTTGCTCTTGTTAGAAGGGAGTTAAGACTCAAATCGTGTTTCGAGCTCAGGCATGTGACATTCTGCTGCTTGTGCCACATCAGGGCACAGCGGACCTTATTCTCCAAATGTTGGGTGGAGGATCGTTTCTCAGAGGCTGCTAAGATAATACTATTCACTTAGCCAGCCTCGAGCCACTTGACACTATGCTAAAAAAAAATAGCAAGTAGTTAGGTTTATTCAATCAACTGTCAATCTGTGTGCATAGTGGGAATTGCCATGCAATGTGAGGCATTTCTTTAACGCTCGGTCGCACATATGGTACCCTTTGTTTCACCAATGTTCAAAGCTGCTATAATCCATACACAGTGGTCAACAAATTTAAAAGACGTGGTTTCACAAAGCGCAAAATCTGGTCAGCAGAGAAATATACAACATCTGAAAACCTTAAACAGCTTAAGTGTCAGGGTACTTACCATCCTTAGATCTAGCTGATGCTCAAAGTCGTCATCCTCAGGATTGAACACCACCTCTTTACCAGCTTCCAGCACGCACCCTGATAAAAGATTTCAAATAATAAGACAACTTTCGCAAGTGTTCCAACAGTGGCAATTTGAGGTTTGAAGCATATAAATACTGAGACTTTAATCTGTGATGGATTAGTCATTTTCTTTATTTTAAATGTGGCAAAGTGTCACTTATTCGGGGGTAAAGTGCTATGTTTCAAATGCACACAAGAGGGAGCCACACTGACTACCGATTTGAAGATTCCCACATGGCCACAGCACAGGGAATCCCCTCAATTGGGTGAACTAACTAAAATAATTTCCTTGAATGGTGCAAATTTAACACCCCACCTATTGGGTGAACGTGATGCTTCATAACAAACAGGTGATAGTGGGGGGAAAATGGCAGATAAATACAATTTACATGTACTTCTTAATTAGTGAATAAAGCTTTTTCAATAAATAGCTTTTTTTGGTAAAAAGTACTTTGCTGTGCACAGTGGCCTCACACAACACCCAAAAAACAGAGCGGCAAATTGACCAAAAATCTGCGTCTAAAAAAAGAGAAAATAATTTTCACATGTCGCATGTGTGAAAAATATGAGTAATTTCAGCATCACGAGAGTGTATTATCCTAAGCTCCTGTATGCGTTATAAATTAAATCATATCATGGGTAAAAACCTAAATGACGTGTTTGCTGGGAACGGGTCAGATAAGGTAAGGAGGTCTACATTTTTATCCCAGAGGAGGAAGTCAGCAGGGTCCGCATGTGTTGAACCCACGTTGAGACGGCTTTTCCAGACGAGCTAAAAATACTGCCACGTCTAACTTTAGCCTACAGTGTCCAGTTAATCAAAAGGCGATGTAAATTCAACTCTAAAACATTGACAGCGTCTGGTGTGAGGAACATGCTTAAATACCAACTTTGTGCACAACACATGGGCGCCGCCATGTTGGTAGTCAAACACGTGCAAGTTCTAGCTAATTCAGACTTGTCTAAAGCCTCGTTCAACCTCCTGCTACAACATTAGAATGGGGAATAACGCGCGCAGGATATTTATTCCACTTTACATGATTTAATAGGACAATAGGAACATTAATGTTCATTACGTTCAAGTACAAAGCTGAACCGTTACATTTAATCGTGCTCTTGTCCCGAGCTCAGCACTCTCACACGAGGACACGTAACGTTACTGCTAAACACCTTGAAGTCACATGCGACATGCACAAGTTATTTTACCGTAAAGAAAGGTCTGTGGTGCCATTGGTTCTTCGTCCATTCCGTTCATTTCTGCGATTAAAACGCTGACAACCTGCTGCTTGTCTGCGAAGGAAGAAAAACCAACTACTACTAGTTACGACTTACTAACGTGGGACTCCGCCTCCGTTCTTCTTCTCTGTTTCATGCTGAGGAGAAAGCCAACGAGAGTAACAGCGACACCCACTGTGGCACAATGTGTGGAGTCCGACTCAACAAACAGCACAGCACCTTGGTCATTAGCCTATATGTATAGATAAATAAAAATTAAGGACATACATGTATTTTTGTGGAAGCCATACAGCTATAGTTGAAGCGCTGGCATTCTTCTTCTGGCCATTGAAGTAGGCAAACAGATAAAAAGACTGTGTGCACTCTGAGATTTTTTGGGAAGTGGAAAGTGTAGCGATGATTTATGAATGTCAGTTTTCCACGAGATGGTTCGACAAAATCCTGAAATATCCTGGTGTACAGATGATCAAAAATAGAAATGGTTGTTTAATTCTGATGTTTCTGTGTTTGTTAACTCTGTCTCAAAAGCCTGGAAAAGAAGGAGAGATGGACTATTTCTTCAGCATTTACTCGGATTTCTCCTGTATTAGTTTCGTAAATAGTTGTATTTGTGGTAAATGTTGTTGTGTACAATGAAGGTCTAAAATTTGGATTGGGGCTTATGTGAATGTGTGGTGCTCTGTAAGCCCATGTGGGCTGGGAATAGTCATGTGCATGACACTATAATACAAATGTCAGTCACCCATTCATTAATCCAGTGTGGAGGTTGTAGAAAAGGCTATATAACTTAGCAAACATTCTGCACAACTATGTGCATGCCTGTAGCTTTTCAGAACAATTAAGAAACCACAATATAGAGCAATAACTACCAGTTACACTACTTTTTTATGTATGCAAATGTATATTTTGTTAGTGGGATCAACATACCAGAATATTACCAGAAGTTGAATTGTATAAGACAAAACAAAATAAAACCAAATGGGTTGGAATTTGGGGATTGTGAAGGCCATGCCATATGACTCATGTAATGTTCACACACATCAAACCATTCACACATGCCTTATGCTTATGGAAGCACCTGCATTTGTTATTTTTCTCTACTCATTTATTTAGGTTTCTCCTTTGATTTATCATTATATTATACATTTTCTTAGGAGCATACAGATAATGTATGCACACAGCGACAGACACATGGACACACGCACATTTGCATGCAAGAAAGGGCAACTGTAAAGTAAAACACCACTCAATTTAAAAATGTACATATTTATTCTTATGGCTTGGAATTCGTTTTCTATCTTTGTGAGATTTAACAACTCTGTTCTAAACCCAAATATCAAAGACCAGAGGTTGTGATGTCACACTGATGTACCATACAGCGGTGAGCTGCTCCACTGAAAGCAAAAAGAACAATGATGAATATTTTAGTGCTTGAACTACTAGATCCTTGTGAGCTTTCTATTATGGTGGTACTTTCAAACACACCGCAACTCATAGAAAATGATGTGCAGGCAAATGCATTAGTCACCCTGTTCCGTCTGTACGTTCTTATATACAGTCTATGGTCTGTACCTGTACGCTAGTGTGACATCACGGATTGAGATTGGATGGAGGAGACAGTGCCAAATGTTCACTAATACAGATGGAGCTGTCCTCAGTATCTTCAAAACATTCCAAAGCTGCCATTCAGTAGTATTTCCCTGCAAGATCATCTGAAACTTTCTCATACCAGGACTTCATTCACACAGCCCAGAGACTACCATCTGATAATTTCTTGTGTAATGACATACCTTTGAGGTTATACCATAAAAATATTTTACTGTCATCATTGTGTTACTCTCTCTGTTACACCTTGATCACCTGTGCAAATAAAGATGTTGGTTTGATGATCACAAGCCTCTTCCCAATGAATTATTCAACATCTTTGTTTTGTGGGCACTCCATCATAAAATGTATGCACATTTATCACAATACGTTTTTATCTTTTACATTTCTGACAACACACTGATTTGACCACAAGAAGCAAAGCAGCAGGTGAAAATAAAAAGAAAAGAAAAATAACCTATCTTATCTTCTTTCTTTTCACTAAAACCTAAGTTCCAACATTGACAAAGACAGGCACACACAAGAAATGTTTCCAAATTGTTTGACTTTCTACGGTAAGCTTTAGATAGACTCTTAACAATAAGCAACATACTCAGTAGGCAAGCGACAGCCAGGTAGATCATCAAAAAGGTAGAGGGGTCACTGCAACAGTGAAAGCAACACATGACATTTGAAATATGCCATATCTGTCAACCATCAAATGCAGGAGATAAATACAGAAGTCCTTATGGCCAAATTCCCATCACAAATCTGACACATGTTTTGAGAAAAAAACTTCTTGCAAAAGCATGCAATTATATTTTAGGCAAAAAAAGAGCTTATTTTGGTAAATAAAAATAAAAATAAAATAAAGTTCCACTAGTTGAACATTTACAGCATTTTATTTTAATGTAGGAGCATCTTTATCTTTTAACAGGCCTATCTTCAAGACTGAATTGAGAGCAATGTCTTATGTCCAAGTCTGTCACAACAGTCACTTCGTATTGTGTGTTAAAACTCTGCAGGAAGGGTAAAATTCCAGTCCAATTCCTTCCTTCAAGTCATTGTGGGGCAATCTGGCTGCATCCAGACCACAGCTGGATAAGATGGGAAGAGGAGGAGGGACTGGACATATTGCACATATGCATCCACACACACACACTCACACTAAGCCCTCTCATTTTTCATGTCTTAGTCGTCATCATCTCCTCTTGTCCTACATCACGTTTTCAAACAGCTGCATCGATCTCATCATGGTTTCGTCCTGCGGAGACAGAAGAAGTGATCATGGCAGAATGATGCAATTGACAAGCATTATGTTACTAGCATTTTAGCATGGCCTCTGGTTTCATGAGAAGAGCTAGGCCTTGTATATTTAAGTTATTATTATTATTATCTACTAGCAATCTACTGTACCCCTGTGTACAGTAATGTATCGTCAGCCTTGCTGAATAAGCTGCACAAAGACAGCAGCTAACCGATACAGCATAATTTTTCAGTGCATTGTACATATATTATTGTTTATATTTTGCAAAATATAAATTTAGGCTACATGTAACAAAATAATTCAACCTCAAAGGCCCACTTACTCGTTTTTGAAACTTTAAAAATACATTGTATTTTGCTTCACTGTGTTTAACAGCTCCAAAGGCTAGTAAGCAAACCTTTGTGATTGCATTTAATGTTGCATATTGTTTTCCAAAGGCCAAGAATGAACTCTCATGCTCAAATTTTAAATGTATTTTTACATACATTTTATGATATTTTTCTTTAAATATTCTTCCCACTTTGGCACGAGAAAGTTGGCAACCTATGGTGACATGTTTTAAGATCTTTTCATATATTTTAGTAATATTACATACAGACATAGACGACTGAGATGTTGGGCAATACATACCTCCTGGCAGGCTATGACAAACTCCTCTAAAGTCACCACTCCATCTTTGTTTTTATCCATTTTCTGTGGAAAAAACAATGTAACATAATGTGAATCGGCATAAAACAGAAGCGAATTTAAAAAAAATATGTTGTGGAAATGTTTTGTGTGAGTTTAAGTTGCAACCAACAGTAACTAACCAGATTTTTGCAATTATTGCAATTATTTATGTGAATCTTATGTCTTAGAAATTAACCTGAAAAAAGGCATCCACATGCTGCTGGGGAACGTCTCCCTTTAGGGCCGGGTAGGTGTACTTGCCCATCATGTCATAAATGGCCCTCACAATATCAGTCATTTCCTAAAAGAAGAGAATATGCACATTGTGGTGAGACACTTTAGGTGACACACAAAGCACTGTTTATGTTGTTGTATATTGTGACAGCGTAGCCTCACCTCTCTGTTTATGTAGCCATCTCTGTTAATGTCATAGAGGTGAAACGTCCACTCTAGCTTTTCTCTGAGTGTTCCTCGCAGCAGTATGGACAAACCCATTACAAAGTCCTGGCAGCAATGGAAGAACAGAAGACAAACTCAGATTCTGAAAGCATTATAGCACATGGAATAAAGAAAGGAGCAATATTTTACCCAAAACGCAATTATAAAGAAGGATGACTGTTTTTCTTTACCTTAAACTTAATGGATCCGTTGTTTGTAGTGTCAAATGCATTGAAAAGATAATGTGCGTACATGCTTGCATCTGCAACACAAAAAAATGAATGTGTAAGGTCTCCTGTTGTGAAAAAGATTGAGAGAGCAAGGAAAGAGAAACATTGTACTTTACCTCCATGAGGGAAGAACTGTGAGTAAATGTGTTTAAATGTTTCCTCATTCACCACACCACTTGGACATTCCTGTGGAAAAAAAGAGGAATTAAGGTTACTGTACTCAGTGACATGGATGATTTTGTTGGAAGAATTCACCAGAACTGTGCAGTCTCACGCATGTGACCCTAATTATCTTTGTCCCTGGAGTATATTCTGACACAAACATATTTTAGCATGTTAAATGTTCAGCAGTAAATAAACACTTCACAATATTTGTTCATAGCAAGGTCTTTAGCTTGGGACATATCAGCTACAGTTGAAGATGGTTTCATGAAAATAACATCAGTTCTGTATTTCTAGCCACTGTAGCAGACTGTGGCTTGTCCCACCAAACACTAGACTAAAATATCTCAACAATTAGTGGATGGATTAAATGTTGTAAATAGTCATGGTCCCCAGAGGAAACATATGACTTTGGTAATCCCCTGATTTATCATCTAGCGCCACCAGCAGTTCAAAGTTGATACTTTTTGACCAAATACTGGCAAAAATAACAAATTCACATCAGTCTCAACTGTTCTTTGTGTTTTGTACTAACTAGTATTCATACTAATGTCTTCATACTGACACACTCACATTCTCAGTCATCTAGGTAATAGGAAGGTTAAAATCAAGTGCAACTGGAGTTAGAGCATTACAACAGCCAGGAGCACTGACAAACCGAGCAGCATCCATCACCTTGATAACGGCCCCGCAGAGGTTAAATGGCTGAGATTCCCTACCAGAACTGAATGACCTTGGATGGGAGGCGAGGCGTCTTCAAACGTGAGCTAGCCAAGTCCAGCTGCCCTTGATTTTAACCTTCCTTGGATCATTGTGAGTGTGCTAGCATGCTAACGTTTGCTGTGCCCAAGTAGAGCCTCATAGAGCCGCTAGTACAGCTGTAGTCTTGTACAAATAGAAACATTCTGCATGGCTAGATACCACTAGGGGCAAATAGGAGTTAGGGTTATCTAATTTTTTTAATGTTTGAAGTATCTGGAATGAATGCTATGTATGTACTAAAGTAATCTAAAAATAAAATCAGAAAATGTGTGATTTACATTCTTGAAACCACGATAGAGGATCTGCAGCTCCTGTTTGGTGAAATTAGTTTGGGCTTCCAATTGCTCAAGACCCTCTGGCCTGTAACACACCGTTGTCATCTCAAGCTCATCATCTGTTTTATCTACAGGGAAGAGAAAGAGAGAGTGAGACAGAAGAATAGTTATTACAGAGAGTCATGTCAAGACTTCTACAATCCCTGTTGAACATATGTTCTTCCCAGTTTTTGGAAATATCAAAACTATTACACACAGGAAAGAGAACACTCAGCGAAGCTTGAGATTGTTAAATTGGCAGGAAACGTCAAAAGTTTCATTCAACAGCAGAAATGAGCTTACAGAGATAACAACTCAAGCAGTGGAAAAATGAGGCAGAATGAGGTCAATATAGAGAGAGAAAAGGCTGGATTTGAGAAGAACTACATGTACGTCACAAATAGATTTGCCCTTAGGAGTTAAGGGACTTTATTAATGGCAACATGGTGCTCAGTATCGGGTGTTGTGGAGATGGATGGTGGTTAATGATGTGAAGAGTTCTGGTGCTGCTGAGAGCAAGTGTTTGTCACTATGACTGCCTTCAGCTACAGGGCAATGCTAACATCCTGTTATCCGGCAGTGGACACAATCCACACAGCAATGAGTTTTCAAACATGAGCAAACATCCAAGAGAAAACAGCAACATAAAGTGCACTCTTGATATAGTTTATGACACTCACTGGCAGGGGCAGAACATTAGGAAAAAATGGACAAGAAACTAAACCTAAAGTAGGCGGATCACACACATCTGCTGCTTTATATTAGTCTGTAAGGATGACATGTTTGCACATGCTGGTCTCAGTACTTTGGATGATTACTTTTAAGTGAAATTACATAGTACATCCTTAGATTAATAATTTTAACACAAAGGTCAAAACCCCATTCAATCTCGCCAAAGTCCACAATGAAAGCTGACCAGAAAGCAACCCTTTTACGACTTGACAAATGTTCTCATGTGCATACACGTGAGTCCAAACAAGCTTTAGTAGCTGTGTCAGCTTAAGAAAAGGAGACTGCTTTTCGATGGATATGATGGCTCACTCATTTATGCCCATTCAACAGGGGTGTCAGGATGAATCCTCAACACTGAAACTATATCTGGAATCATGCATCATCTGTCAGAGACAGGCTAATCTTAATTACAATTTTATATCAAATATCCTGTTTGTCATCCACATCCATTATCTGCATTTGTGTCTACTTTAATTTTTGAATCATCTTCATTTCCATCCTGCTTGTTATTTATTAGATTTCAGTTATGTAAGTTACACACGGTATTTCTGTGGCTACCCTATTGGCTTTATGCTCATATAGAACTAATGTGAAATTACAAAATATGAGTTTGAAAGAGATCTTCCACATGTATGGAAAACTATAAGAACAGCCCAGAGAGATCAGTTATCAGCTGAACATACAGTATATGGTTATGTGTTTCATTTGGTTATGTAGCTCATGTTCCTCCTCTGTGGTTCTTGTTGTCATGGGGATAGACAGAATGTGAACAGTAGTGGGCACACTGGATCAACTAATCAAAAACAAAAAGAGCTATCAAACAGAATTTGTACATTTATTTTCCCAGTGAATAGAAGCCCCCCCATCACACGAGGTGTCAATACTTGTATGCATGTATTCTTGCTGCCGAAGGTGGATTTGCTTTCCTGCAAATGTGACAAGTGTGATAAAAAAACAGATGAAATGATGTGAGGGTGAGAAAAGGAAACAGGCAGAGGTGTTGATTAGAAGGGGTGAGACATGGGGCGTTGGGGGAGAGAGAAAGGAGGCGGAGTGTGAAGTAAAAAGGGGAGTGAAAGAGAACAACACATGGCAGGATTACACAATATGTTTGGAGGACACAAAAAATAAAAAAAATGGGATTTTATGAAAGACAAACACTCAAACACTGAGCTATTGATCTGTGAGATTTTTATGGAAACCGCAACTATGGGCTTACAGTCAAGTCAGTGAGTCAAACACTGTCACTAACCTTTCTGACTTCATGGGGTCAAGTGTCAACTACTAGAACGTAATTTGTTAACAGAAGCAACTACTCAGTGACTTCTTTACATAGAATGGGACACATCCTAACTTGGACTTCCATAATAACACACAAGGGAGCAAGCACGCTAGCTCATATTGCTTATAAAGACCAGAACTATTGATAATGTTGATTGACAGTAAGACAGACCAATCGGTTTGTTGCACTGGAGTCTATGCTTATTGCCTTTCCTCACAGTGGCGACAAAACACCAAGAAGCTTCTCTTCCCGTGCAGCCAGGAATTAATTGTGGCACATAAACCCCACAAAACCACAACAAGTCTTTTCATTTTCAATTTTTATACATTTTAGTTAGTGAGCTTTGGTGCTGGTAGGCATATTTTGTCTGCAGAAAGTGCCAGGCTAGCTGTTTCCCCTTGCTTTCGGTCTTTATGCTAAGCTAAGCTAATTGGCAGCTGGCAGCAGCATCATATTTACTGTACAGACAAGATAGTGGTAATCTTCTCATCTAACGCTACAAAGGCAATAAGTGTACTTCCATAAATGTGCAGTAGTGTCTGTAGTATCTGATGACAAAGAAGGTTGTTTCAAACTGACAGCAAATACTCATTGTTTTCTTTTACTTTCTATTTTTTGATATTCATGTCATGGAACGACAGCAGCTGTTGCTACAAATCAGCAGTGACTTTGGTCTGTGTCCTCTGTTCAAACTTGTGCTGTGATTTCTTACAAACCAGGAACCACAGACATATCTACTATACTTGTAACATATACATATAGGATGGCTGTACTGGTGGCCAGCGATGCAGAAATATGTGTTTTTGACATTTACTGTATGCTCAGTGGCCTACAACATATCGTTGTATATACTTTGGTTTTTCACTCTGACTTATTTTTATTTTTATGCTGCTTCAGCCTACTTCTCTGCCCTGTTTCTTGTGCTGCCATAATACTTATTTTCCCTCCTGTGGATCAATAAAGCTTCATCTTGTCTTATCTAATCTCAAATACCTCTCCATTGCTGGTATAACAAGACAAACTTTAATGGACCTTAGTGTGGTGTTTTTTTCTTTTCTCTTTTGCTCAAAAGCTATTTTTTCAAAACAAGGATGAATGATCCCATCTCATCTGTGCAAAAACAATTACCAAACACGCCCCTTGTCCTGCGGGGTGTTTGCTGGTTCATCTATTTTATCTCTATGTCATGTTGCTATAAATTCATCATTCACCCTAGCTGAGTGTTGTTCACACTCTCCTCTTATGCCCCTACAACCCAGTCTCCATGACAACGAGGATCTCAGGCATAAGGCCAGGGAGAGGTATGATATGTGAGCTGCATTTTAATTCCCATGCTCTCGCCTGAACCCTTTCCCTTTCACATATGCACAACACACACACACATGATCACCTAGTCAGGGGGAGTGATTTTGCTCTCTAGTTATTTTCAAGGACATCCTGGCATACTGTAATTTCTCCATCATCACTGCAGTACATATGTTATGCCTTGCACCTCTTTTCACTTTATTTAAAAATAGCTACTCTTACTTTCTGTTTATCCATACGCTTGTATATGCATCAATGCTAGTGGTTAATTTACTTTACATGTTAGTAAATCCATTAGCCTGTCAATTTTTAAATGATTTCCTTGTTCAATAATTTACAGTCACTCCACAGAAATATGGCAAACACGTGATGTCCTTGCTTACGCTAAATGTGCAACACATAGACAAACAACAACCACATGTTATGAGTGACAGCTGGTCTAAATTCTCATCTTATTCCCTCTGCTCTCTCTCTCTCTCTCAGTTTGGTCTCTTTCTGTTGCTCTTCTGTCTTCTCTCCATCTTTTTCTGACTAATGTTGACGTACCTCTGGATGGTCTCCTCCTCTGCTTGGTTTGCATGGTCAAAGTGCCCACCACTGCACCCATGTTGTCACCGTGGAAACCAGCCTGGTCAAACAACCTAGAGAGAAATATTCCTCTATTGTCTTTTTCACGATTTTGTCAGCCAGTCGTTCTGTCTTCATCTGCCTCGACAGCTCTGTATCTTTGCCCCTGTTGTTTCTCCTCACTGATTTCAGATCTGTCACTGAGGGACGACTCTATTCTGTGTGAGCTGATTCTCTTGGATTTCTGATCTCTTTCTCCAAATACACACACACACACACAAGCTGCTCCTGCCTTTCTGCGCCACTCCCTCTGTTCTGTTCTTCATTCTACTCATCTGTCAGCCTTTCCCCCTCTTTCTAGCTCCCTGCCTCCTCATGCCCTCATGTTACTGTGGAGTGCTGGTAACCGATGCTGTACTCAATAATAACAGTGCTCACAAGTGAATGGTAGCAGGTGAAGGACGTGCGTTTAAAGCAGACAGATCGTGATCACTAAATTCTCTCTTTACTGCCCTAAAATACAAAGATACACATATATAACACAACTCAATGGTTAATGAGGAGATTTAGTAGTGCTGCTCTGCTCCCTGACGCATGATTTGTACCATAATGAGCCTGTGGATACATGATAGCCGTGAAGGCTGCCCACTTTGTTTGTGTAAAATCCACCAGAGCAACGCAGCTAGACCTTTCTCTCTAATGTGGAGGGCAACAGAGAGCGAGTAGTTTTTTTTTTTTTTTAACTGTGGTACAAACAAAAACATTAATGGTGTCAATGTGTTTTCACAGAGCGGCTTCAATTTAAGAAAATGGCTGTGTGCATTGGGGGAAGGAAAGCAGTGGGAGTAAGTAATGTTTATTTCCCTACCAGTGGTTACTGGAAGCAGAAGTAAACATTTATTATATTAACAGTATATCATTCAGTGTGGTAGAAGCAGCTTCTGAGTAAAAATATAACTTAGACAGGATATTACTGCAGTCTGTGTTAGGATTTGATATATTATCTGACATATAGGGGCAGTGATTCTCTGCTGGAGTCTCAGCTGAAGATCAAAATTCACAATTATGTAATCTAAGGTAAGACATTAAAAAAGTTGCTGCTTTGGTCTAGGTCCATGTGCTGTATGGAGTAAAGCACAGAAAATGTGAATGTCTTTTTAAATATTCCACTGGCTGCAGACCATAAATGTAAATGCCCTCTCT